GGGGGGGGGGGGGGGGGCAGACAGAGTGTAAGCTCCTTCGGTGCACACTATTATTCATTTATAGCTCTGACATATATCATAGCGCTGTACAGAGGACACTGAGCCGGCCACATCAACCTCTGCACCCGAGGAGCTGACACTAATGTGCCCCCGCAGTCTATTCTGATGATCTGTAGGCGGTGTGTGTGTACTCGGAGGGGTTCCGGTGAGCTGTGACGGCGTGTCTGTGGTTTCAGGTTGAGCTCGGCATGTGATGTGGAGGAAGTAACCCGTCACTCTGTGTATTTGGGGAAGACGGTGGCGGCGGCTCGCTGTGTGATGTGTTCATGTCTGGGGCTGCACATGGTGTCTGTAATCATACGTAGCAGGAGATGAACCCCATGGGGGACGTTTGGCTCAGTTTCAATGTCATTTGTATAAAGTGAGGCGGGGACCAGCGGACGGGTAATCCCCCAAACTACTACTAAAAGGTTCCATTTAATCTGGTTATATTTGGCCTTTCCTGGTTCCTCTCTCCGCCCTCGTCAGCGTGCTGAGGAAATGTTTAAACACCTTTTTAGACCCAGTAGTGTCATCACTGGGTCTCTGTGCTTCTCTGTAAAATGCAGGCAGATCATGGCAGGGTGCTGTACATAGCTTCCTGAAAACATCACAGCACCCTGCCTCAGTACTTCTCTCAGGAGCCCTCAGCCCCGATGCAAGCATTGTGCTGGCTATTGGGAGAAGTTATGCAAATATCACATTGCCTTGAGTGGAAGTCAGTCTGGAGGAGTGGGTGTTCCTAGACTGCGTTTGCTTAGGTAAAACCCACATGAGATGCTGAGCGTCCAACATTGAAAGAATTTATATCTAATGAAAGGGGCGGTGCCAGGGACAGTCAGGCTGGGAGGAAAGAGCTAGATGACACTGGACATCCTCCAGCCAGGTAATGAGGCGGCCTCTATCTGACTTGCTGCAGCTTGTAATGCACATTGTGAGCTGCTCGCAGTGACATCGGAGGAAGCCATTCCAGTCCAGGAGAGGAGCCGGTACCACTGCGCAAGACTGAAGGGACCTTCATTTTACAGGAGGAAATAATGTTCAGCAGTGTTCTTTTACTGAAAGAGTAGTTGTGCTGGGAACAGACCTCCAGCAGAGGTGGTGAGCCAGTCATCATAAGTAAATATAAACCTGCATGGGACAAACCTAGATCTACAGCAGGGGTAGGTAACCTCGGCCCTCCAGCTGTGGTGAAACCACAAATCCCATCATGCATCTGCCTCTGGGAGTCATACCTGTGGCTGTCAGTCTCTCAATGTATCATGGGACTTGTAGTCCCACCATGGCTGAGTGGCGAGGTTGCCTACTCCTGATCTATAGTCAGATATGAATAAGAACAGACTGGATGGGGTGCTTTGTTCTATATGGGGAGATGGCGAGTGGTGCTGCTTCCTCTCTGGTGTTTGTGGTTCAGGTGTGTACACAGCGGGTGTGTTTCCTGCTCGGGGTGGAGGGGATTCCCTGGTGTTTAAGGACAGGCCGGGGAGCATTCCTGAGCTCTCTGCACTTTCCTCATTGTTACGCTGTGTGCCAGTCAGTGGAGGGTTCGCATTCCTCATCCATGTGTGTTACTCGTTGTACTGCGCTCCTTGTATGAGAGCTGCATCCGTGTGTGTTACTCCTTGTACTGCGCTCCGTGGATGAGAGCTGCATCCGTGTGCGTTACTCCTTGTACTGCGCTCCGTGGATGAGAGCTGCATCCGTGTGCGTTACTCCTTGTACTGCGCTCCGTGGATGAGAGCTGCATCCGTGTGCGTTACTCCTTGTACTGCGCTCCGTGGATGAGAGCTGCATCCGTGTGCGTTACTCCTTGTACTGCGCTCCGTGGATGAGAGCTGCATCCGTGTGCGTTACTCCTTGTACTGCGCTCCGTGGATGAGAGCTGCATCCGTGTGCGTTACTCCTTGTACTGCGCTCCGTGGATGAGAGCTGCATCCGTGTGCGTTACTCCTTGTACTGCGCTCCGTGGATGAGAGCTGCATCCGTGTGCGTTACTCCTTGTACTGCGCTCCGTGGATGAGAGCTGCATCCGTGTGCGTTACTCCTTGTACTGCGCTCCGTGGATGAGAGCTGCATCCGTGTGCGTTACTCCTTGTACTGCGCTCCGTGGATGAGAGCTGCATCCGTGTGCGTTACTCCTTGTACTGCGCTCCGTGGATGAGAGCTGCATCCGTGTGCGTTACTCCTTGTACTGCGCTCCGTGGATGAGAGCTGCATCCGTGTGCGTTACTCCTTGTACTGCGCTCCGTGGATGAGAGCTGCATCCGTGTGCGTTACTCCTTGTACTGCGCTCCGTGGATGAGAGCTGCATCCGTGTGCGTTACTCCTTGTACTGCGCTCCGTGGATGAGAGCTGCATCCGTGTGCGTTACTCCTTGTACTGCGCTCCGTGGATGAGAGCTGCATCCGTGTGCGTTACTCCTTGTACTGCGCTCCGTGGATGAGAGCTGCATCCGTGTGCGTTACTCCTTGTACTGCGCTCCGTGGATGAGAGCTGCATCCGTGTGCGTTACTCCTTGTACTGCGCTCCGTGGATGAGAGCTGCATCCGTGTGCGTTACTCCTTGTACTGCGCTCCGTGGATGAGAGCTGCATCCGTGTGCGTTACTCCTTGTACTGCGCTCCGTGGATGAGAGCTGCATCCGTGTGCGTTACTCCTTGTACTGCGCTCCGTGGATGAGAGCTGCATCCGTGTGCGTTACTCCTTGTACTGCGCTCCGTGGATGAGAGCTGCATCCGTGTGCGTTACTCCTTGTACTGCGCTCCGTGGATGAGAGCTGCATCCGTGTGCGTTACTCCTTGTACTGCGCTCCGTGGATGAGAGCTGCATCCGTGTGCGTTACTCCTTGTACTGCGCTCCGTGGATGAGAGCTGCATCCGTGTGCGTTACTCCTTGTACTGCGCTCCGTGGATGAGAGCTGCATCCGTGTGCGTTACTCCTTGTACTGCGCTCCGTGGATGAGAGCTGCATCCGTGTGCGTTACTCCTTGTACTGCGCTCCGTGGATGAGAGCTGCATCCGTGTGCGTTACTCCTTGTACTGCGCTCCGTGTATGAGAGCTGCATCCATGTGTGTTACTCCTTGTACTGCGCTCCGTGTATGAGAGCTGCCTCTGTTTATCTCCCGCAGATCGGATTCATTCACACTCTGTTCTGTTATCTGCAGACCTAGCAAGGCCAGGTTCACACCTTGGCGATCCGTGACCGCGTGGCAACCGTGCACGGTACCACACGGTCACAGAGTCGCACAAATAGGGCGCCATTAGAAAATAATGGCAGAAAGCTGAAGGTGTTCTGTGTTCTAGAGAACCTCCAGGAGAGATATTTGGGGCCTTTAGCAGGACCGTGAAAGATCGACCGTATTGTCTGCAACTCCATGAAAAATATCAGAGCACTTCCTGTGCCCCGTATCCTCCTGCCCCGTATCCTCCTGCCCCGTATCCTCCTGCCCCGTATCCTCCTGCCGGTATACCTGCAGTGTGAGATCAGCTCAGGCACTGCTGCCTCTGACTGCCGGTCTCCCCGGATTTGGTGATGTCTCTGCTGTGCTGATCACTGTTCTCCTTGCTGGAGAGGAAGCTGTACCTGAGGATCTCTCTGCTTCATCCATTCTATTGATCTGTGCTTCCTCCACATCTTTCAATACCCAATCAGATCACCCGCTGTAACATGAGGAAGCAAAATCCTGTTTCTGTCCCAAGATGGCTGCCTCCACACACTGTGCAGAACAAGGCACAGCAAATCACTAATGGGGATAAGATTAGCCATTTTCAAAGAACTAATTAACCCTTTGTGGTGGGGCTACCCCTGTACTGCGAGGGTTAAGTGCCTGTTTTGGTCTAGGGAGTAAAACAATCGTTTTTTTTTTTTTTATATTCACCCGATCCTCTAAGCCAGCCGACTGTAACAGCGCTCCCTCCAACCCATTTCCTCTGCAGCAATGGTATGTCCCTCCGTGTCCTCATAGTGTATAGAACGTGATGACACGGGGACCCTGGACCACTGCAGCGGAGGAAGAGAGAGGCTCCAGGATTGGGTGAGTAACTTCCCTAGACCAAAACGAGCCGTTGGCTTTGCACTGCGGGGGCTATTCTGGGGGGGCGGGGGTATCCCACCAAAACAAATTCCTATGGCAGGGAGATGACTAAGACGTTCCTGTTTCTTAGTGGAGACTTCTGAGAAAATCAATCGGCCAATCGCAGCAGGAAATGCCATTTCTGGGGGCGTTCCACAGACCCGTGGTTACAGAACTCCTCCAGGTTTCCACATTTTGTAGAATTTTTCTGACACTTGCTGCAGATTGAAATGGAAAATGTTCGGCTCCTTCACACCGGCCCGTCCCTTTTTAAAATGCTCGGTTTTAGTGTGCGGTGGCTGGGGTGGTGCGACGGGTCCGGTATGAGGACTGTTAACCTTTTTTTTCTCCATTCAGAATGGGGAAGAGTGTCCCTATACATACACCTTTAGTACTGCTGGGACAATAGACTGTACGTGGTGCACAGTGGGGGGTGCACGGCGCTCAATCACCAATGCAGCATCATGCACAATTTCTGGCTGTTGCAGCTTTATGCCACATGAAGCCGCCTGTCCCATCTGTCAGCGATTTTCATCTGGTCTGCTGGCGGTCAGATTTCCTCCCGTCAGTAACTGGTTGTTGTTCCTGTGAAGTGAGAGAAAGTGAAATGGCAGGAGGATGTGGTAAGGGTGGAAATCCCCAACGCTGTCAGTCTGTAGAGGAGCGTGACATGCGGGAGGGGGGAGGGGGGGACTTTTATCCCTTCACAGGGAAGCAGGAAATTCCCTGTAAGGCTACATTGCTGCAATCATCCACTCCCAGGCCGTCTGCTAATAAAATACTCCGTCCTAGGATTAGCGTTCTGTACTCTGACCTGGTGCTACTACACTGTGTACTCGCCCTATATTCCATGCTACATAATGTACTCGCCCCTTACCCCATCCTAGTATTACTATTAGGGCTGCGGCCAATGATTATTTTCATAATCGTTTAGTTGGCTGACACTGGCCGCATGAGGGGGGGGGGCAAGGTTTGGGGGCTCCTGCTGCAGGGTCTGTGTCCCCTCAGATGCCTTCTGGGAACGGTGGGGATAGGAGGTGACTGAGCGCAGATCAATGAATAGATAAGTTATATTCTCTACCTTTTAGTATTACTACTCCATTCTTTCATCATATGGTCCCTCCTAGTATTACTGAACTGTACTCCTCCAATACTCTGTCCTAGTGTTACACTGTGTACTCTGCTCATATTCCATGCTAGTATTTCTACAATGTGTACTCTCCACTCCCTCCATCCTTGTGTTGCTTTGCTGATAGTTATGTAGTCTGGTCTGGTATTCATACACTGTCTGCTCCTTCTGCACTCCGTCCTCCCATTTCTGTGCTGTCCTAGATCAGGGGTGCCCATTAGGTGGATGGTGATCTACCAGTAGCTCTCAAAGCTGATGCTGGTAGATCAGGAAGGGTGGGAATGGCGGCCCCTTTATTCCATTTTGGTATCTTTATTTAGCTGTCACACATGATTTACCTATTAGCCCGAGTCTGCTGAGCCGAGCTCCCTGACACCTTTCTGGTGGTTGAAGTGCTATGTATTACATCGAAGAATATTAGTTCACACAGCCTGTTGCAAAATACAGCAAGGTGAGAGCGGGGAGAGAGCGGGAGAGACAGCCAGGAGAAAAAACGAGCCGGGAGTTGAGGGGCGGGCTTCCGATGACCGCAATGCCGAACGGGCAGTGTGCGCTTGCACACACCGGCCCGTGCGGCTGTTATCGTACGGACATGCCACAAACCCGCCGAACATCGTACGATGCTCGGCAGGTTTTCAAACATGTCCATAAGTTTAAAGTCGTGCGACCTTACAGTAGTAGAGGTCGCACGGCTTCCACACACCTTACGATCATCGTACGATCGCGGGAAATCCCGCGATTATTGTACGATAATCGTAAGGTGTGTGGGGACCCTTAGAGTAATATCTCTGGAATATCGATCACCATTCCTCCATGTAATACTCTGTGTTCTCTGCAGGCTCCTCCATCTGGCTGTCATCCACAACATCCCAGAGCTGTCCCTCTACTTCATCTCACTGGCCACCAAAGACGTCCTAGACATCCAGAATGACCTTTACCAGGTAGGTGACCTCCATTGTGATCTGCAGAGCTTTGCGCTCGGTGTGGGGTGCATGACCGAGGTTGAACTCGATGGACTTGTTTTTTTTTTTTTTTTTTTTTAGTCAGGTTGAAAAAAAAAGATACAACTATGTATTGACCTGGTGATCTGCTGATGTTCCCCGGAGCCTCCGTGCGTTAGGCTTTCCTGGTGTGTGCGTGCTGAATTGAGACACAGTTGCGTGTCTGTGGGCCGTCTGGCCTCCTCAGCCTCCTTGTGTTTGGGAAGAATCTCCCTTCCTGTATGTATGTCCCAGTACCCCACCAATAACTGACTCCAGGAGTGTCTGCACAGGACATGAACATGTACACTGGGCTTTAATTGTTCATTATTATTATACAGGGTTTATATAGCGCCAACAGTTTGTGCAGCGCTTTGCAATATAAGGAAGACATTACAATCACAAGACAAGATGGTAAGGAGGGCCCTGCCCCTGAGGGCTTACACTCTATTAGGGAGGGGTATGGTTTATACCTGTATGTGAAAAACTATCCAAGAGTTGCATATTCCAAACACCGTCTCATATCCGTGTGTACCTGGGCCGGCTTCCTGGCAACATTTGATGATTATGTATGGACCCCGAGGGGTGTAATTACTTGGCAAATTGTATTTATAAAGAGTCGACAATTCACACAATGCATTACATGGTGCATGTTCACATCAGTCCCTGCCCTCCCATGAGCTTACATCTAAGGTCCCTATCATGCATGCATACGAGGGCCAATTTTGACAGGAGCAAATCAACCTTTCAGGATGTCTTTGGAGTGTGGGAGGAAACGCATGCAAGCACGGGGAGTACTTAATCGAACTTAATAATCGGCTAACTAATCGATTTTGAAAATAATCGTTAGCTGCAGCTCTAGTGCAAACTCCATGCAGATAGTGTGCTGACCGGGATTTGATCCAGGGACCCCCAGAAGTGCTAACCACTGTGCCACCCAAATTAGGTTAAAATAGCTCCAAGTCCATCAGGTTCAGCTTCAGACTCAAGAGGAAGACACAACCAACCCTCGGGGCAGCTGTGGACAGTTTGTTTTTTAACTTCTGATGTGAGTGGAAATACTGGTCAGCAGTGAGAGAAATGACAGGAAATTGGTTCTTTAGATACAGGGCTCCTAATACAAATAACAGTCACTGCAATGTGCAAGATTCAACATTATCTGCTCCCCCCCCCCCCCCCCCTCCACATGTTCCTATTAACCAGTAGGGCCCCCAAATGATTGTCCAATAAATGTATGCAGTGACCCCTAAGGGGTGAGTGGACAGTTCTAAGGCTGCCAATAATAACCTTAGAAATCCTGTAATTCTTCTTGTATTACCACTTGCTGAAATAAATGCATTACAATGTGATAATCCTTCCTCTTTTCTATGTGTGGAGAGAGTCTGTGGTATCTGATCTCACAAGGGCAGTCCGTTCAATCCCCTGGATCAAAATGTTCCCATATTTAAATGTCAAAACCTTTTTAAAACTATTGTCAAAGCATTAAATCTTCCTCTGAATGGATTTGTCATAGTTACACGGAATTCCATGATGTTACCACTCTGACTGTAAAGAATCCCTTCCGGTATTGAGGGAAACATCTTCTATATACAGCCAACGTCCTCTTCTCTGCCGTACACTGTTTGAGATCAAATGTTAAATTGCCAAATCTTATTGGCCCTGGATGCAAGTTGGGACCACCAACATCTCCCCCACCAACCACCATCCCCCCCCCCGGGGGACCTCTTAATTAAAAAAGTTCTATGCTCCCCTTTTTCTCACGGGGTCTTGGGTCAGATGGCATGACGACATGGATGCTCTTCCCATTATGCTTCATCCTGCAGCGGGTGGGTCCTGAATGCTGGAGAGCCCCACATAAAAGTATAGCACTGCTTTCTGCAGCACTCTTCTGTGGGCCCGTGGTGGCTTGATGACATCCCCCCCCCCCCCATGTTTTTGGCCGTGGTGGGTTTATGACGTCCCCCCCCCCCCCATGGGGTGTGTCCTTGATGCCCAGGATGAGGGTTGAATGAATGATGCTGGACCCCATTCACCACTGAAAAGTCAGTGCTGGATTGCAGAGAGCGGAGTCTGTGAAAACGGCACCAGAGAGGGGGGTGAGCATTTTCTATCTATTGTGTGTGTGTTGTGGGATTGACATGGAGTGTGGTTTGAATGCTTCCTGACCTCCTATTCCAGATTCCTGACTCCACTCTTATCTCTTCCATCCCAACAGTCGGCACTGCACCTCGCCGTCTACCTGGACCAGCAGGAGGTGGTGGAAGCTCTGCTTAGAAAAGACGTCAACCTGGAGCTGCAGGACCGGAAAGGAGACACGGCTCTACACCTGGCCTGTGAGAACCAGCACCTGGACTGTGCCAGAGTCCTCCTGCGGGGCCCCAGGGGGCCCCAAAACTTAAGGCTGCAGAACTGGAAAGGTGATGCTGGTTCTGGGGTCTTATTGATGTCACATTAGTGTATAAGCATTGCCCATGGCAGATTGGGGGTAGGGGAGCTGGGACGGGAACTGGAATTTGCATTAACCACCTCTTGGCAGGTCATTGTAGGTAAATGGCTGGTTGGGGGACTTGTAACTCTAATGGGATATTTGTAAATGTCTTTGTTTTTTTGGGGGGGAGGGCGCGTGCTGGGTGTGCTCCCAATGCAAGTGATTGGCTCTGTGCATTTTGCCTCTAATCATAGTGGCTCTGTGCCTTGTGATCACTGTGAACTAGTACTCGCCCAAATGCTCCAACACCTTCCCCGATACCGAAACTTCAGGTCAGAGGAAGATTTCCTCTGACCGGAAGTGCCGTAGGGGAACATGGAGCCAGCTTCCTCTGCGATCAGGAAGCTTGGTGGCGAGTAATGACCCGGCTTGCTGATTGGCAGAACAGCCACCTCCTTGCTGATTGGCTGGAAACCCGGTTTCCCAGGTATCAGGAAGCTGGGAGCCGGGTCATTCCTCTTCACCTGGCTTCCTGATTGGCCAGGAAGCTGGCTAGATGCTTCCCAGCCAATCAAGCTGGCCAGATAACATGGAGCCAGCTTCTCGGGCAATCAGATTGCCCAGTAAGCCGGCTCCATGCCAGCGGAAGCACCGGTACTCGGTATTTTGAGTAAATCTCCTTTTTCATTGGCCCCTTTCTGCCATTATCCGGTTCCTGAATTCTTCCCAGACTCTTCATCCTGCCTGCAGGGAGTGTAAGACCTAGAAGACAGACTGATGGAAGGGTGTCTCCACTGACCACCTCCTCCCATAGGCACTTTGTCGCTGTCGCACTTCTGCTGTCTGAGCTTATTGTTGTCACTAACGCATCTCTCTCCTCTGCAGGTCTGACCTGCTTGCACATCGCCACCATGAAGAAGAATGTGCACCTCGTCTCTCTTCTGCTGGACAATGGCTCTGATATCAACAGTCAGGTAAAATCTTCCCTTCCTGTTCCTGTCTCCTATCTGCTTTTCTGGAACTAAAATATCATGATTTGTTAGACCCCGTTCACATTGAGCCATTTATCGCGCGGTAATTCCCGCGATATCGCGGCAAATTACCGCGCGATATCGCGCTCCAATGCAATCCAATGGGGCAAAGGGTCCTGCTGTAGCGGGTCGTGTGTCGCTACAGCAGGACCCTTTTTTGAGCGGATTTAGCCGCGATTCAAGCTTGCTCAATGCAAGCTTGAACGCGACATCGCGCGGCAAATCTCGCGATGTCGCGCAATATGCAAATCGCGCGACAAACGCGAGATTTGCATATCGCGCAGTGGGAACGGGGCCTAAGATAGAATGATCAGTCTAATTTCCACAGTAGGTATGGGGTGGGATTGATCTTCCTTCTGATCAGCCCGGGTGCTGGACTACAGAATGTCTCCCCACTTATGATTTTGGAGAGGGCCAGGTGTTCTGTAGTCCATCTCCAGCAGGTGAGAGGTGGCTAGGACTGACAACAATGCTTTGGATTCCGGTGCAGCAGGGGCACTGTGTCAGCTGGCTACAGGAAGTTAGGAGCTCACTGGCTGTCTGACAGACCACCCAGTATTGACGGTACTTGCTGCATTTGCAAAGAGACACAGCGTGGGGAATGTGCACGCAAGTCAGCTAGACTAAAGCCTCTTCCCTCCTTTTTCCCTGAGCCCTCTTCCTCCTTCCTTCCTACTTTCCCTGAGCCCTCTTCCTCCTTCCTTCCTACTTTCCCTGAGCCCTCTTCCTCCTTCCTTCCTACTTTCCCTGAGCCCTCTTCCTCCTTCCTTCCTACTTTCCCTGAGCCCTCTTCCTCCTTCCTTCCTACTTTCCCTGAGCCCTCTTCCTCCTTCCTTCCTACTTTCCCTGAGCCCTCTTCCTCCTTCCTTCCTACTTTCCCTGAGCCCTCTTCCTCCTTCCTTCCTACTTTCCCTGAGCCCTCTTCCTCCTTCCTTCCTACTTTCCCTGAGCCCTCTTCCTCCTTCCCCGAGCACTTATCCCAGTCCGCCCTGAGAGTAAGGAAGGTGATGTGTGTCGGGCAGGATGGGGTATTTCTGCTCTCTCCAGGAGTCGTTGCTGCCCAGAACATTACAGACTTGAGATTTAAACTTTTCTGCTGAGGATTTAATATTCGGTGTCAGAATTGTATAATGTAAATGTGGAAACCTCTGGGGTCTCAGTGTTCACCCGAAGCTCAGGTTCTAGGACTCGGCCCGCCTTAGTCCTCTGTCTCCTCACCCGTCTTCCTCTCACCTTACAGGAAGGCACCAGTGGGAAGACTGCTCTGCACCTGGCTGTGGAAATGTTGGATGGAGAGCTGGTGGCTCATATTTTACAATACCGCCCCCATGTGGACGCTTTAATGTACAACGGCTGTACCGCCCTCCACCTGGCCGTCGGCAGGAAGGATATTGGTCTCTCCAGGCTTCTGTGCCAAGCAGGGGCAGACATCTTACAGAGGAACAGAGAGGGGGACACCCCTCAGGACCTGGCAGAGGGGAATAACCTGGTACAGACATTAACTATATTGTTAGATAAAGTATCTGGAGTGAAACCTGGAAAACTGTGATTATACAATGGCTTGGGCATTATACGTGGCACTAAGCCAGCTAAGTAAATATTGAATGCAACATTGCATTGTTCTTCTGGGCTGCACAGACACTGACTGACTGCAGCCATCTCTATGCCAGTAAAAGTATCTGGAAAAAACACAAATCTGATTGCACTAAGGGAAAAAGAATCCTGATAGAGTGCAAAAGTGGAGGTATAGTGATGGCCAGAACATATTACAGATGATTGCAAAATGAGCACACAGTGTGGCCTAGCAGTGGGGAAAGTGATTAAAAATATGAGATGCATCACCTAATGGGGTCACCAGCAGGAGGAAGGAGGTCCTGGTTCCTCTATATAGATCTTTATTATCACTAGAGGGATCCCCAGCAGGAGGAAGGAAGTCCTGATTCCTCTATATAGATCTTTATTATCACTAGAGGGATCTCCAGCAGGAGGAAGGAGGTCCCGATTCCTCTATATAGATCTTTATTATCACTAGAGGGATCTCCAGCAGGTCCTGATTCCACCACTAGAATACCGTAGGGATGTCAGATGGGTTTTCTATAAAAAAATAAAATTGAATGGAATCGGATTTGGGTGGGAGGTGACTAATATCCAGAGGGAGCTTACTGATTGGGTGGGAGGTGACTAATATCCAGTGGGCGGGCACTGAATGATCCTCGGAGTGTGATATGAGATATTGGGAAAATAGAGTGTTATTGATGAAGGTGGAAGCACTATTTAATTATTTTCTCCATCCTCATCCCCCAGCTTCTTCCTCTTCTGCCCTTTGATGATCTGAAGATCTCCGGCAAACCTGTTGTGACCACTGCGTGAGCGTTTGCATTGATTCTCCGGTGTGAAGTGACAGATGGACCCTCCGCCGCCTGCACAGGATGTTACATAATGGAGCCGCCTCATTCACAGTGGGAGGCCTGGGGACAATGACCACAAGGTGGCGCTCTGGGACCTCTTCTCACCATGGTGATGATGATGGGACTCCACGTTTTATATAAAGGATTGCTTAGCTGTTGAGCCGTTCTCTATTCTGCAGATGATGAAGTATTGTACCGGAGCAGAGCCGCCCCCATGTGATATAGTTCTAGATGCACTTTTATAGGACGTTGCTGGACGGGAGCAGTTGTTATACTCCGCATGTGATGAGAGGACGCACCTCACCCGGACATTTCTATACACGTCTTTACATTCCACTCACCCCGCAGCTTTCTATTCCACGTTCTCCACCCCACCCAGAGATCTCACAGCTCGGATCATCTCGCCTCCACCATATATGCTAAATCTCTGAGCTGCCACCACACCCGCACTGTATAAGTTCTCCTGTTTGCTTCTCTCGCTGTATAAAGGACCTGTGACTTCATAGTTTCTCTCCAGCGCTGCAAGTCTAGGACGTTCCTGTTCGCTGTCTGTTTTAATATCCTGAAACTGCACACCCCATGATTCTTTGGGGGTAGGTTCAGGGCGGCTCGGCACAAAAGAAAATATGCCTGACCCCTTATTTAATGTAGTACACCACAACGCACAGCATTTGCTTTTTGATGTGCTGCAGTGCCGGGTGTGTTGCATGTTGGCACTGGAATGCCGTTTCCTGTTGGCTCTACAGAGGTGGGCAAACTCCAGCTGCGGTGAAACTACAAATCCCACCATGCATCTGGCTCTGGGAATCTTGCGATGCCTCATGGGATTTGTAGTTCCACAGCAACTGGATGTTCGGAGTTGGCCCACCTCCTGCTGTACACCATGGTTCTTGTGTGGTAACACGGTAAACCAAACACATGGATGGTGGGGGAGAGGGACCAGAGGAAGGGATGGTGATGGGGAGAGGGACCAGAGGAAGGGATGATGGTGGGGGAGAGGGACCAGAGGAAGGGATGGTGATGGGGAGAGGGACCAGAGGAAGGGATGATGGTGGGGGAGAGGGACCAGCGGAAGGGATGGTGATGGGGAGATCTGCAAGAGCTATGCCAGACTCATCTTGCTCAATGTCTCATGTGGGTGGAGTGCTCCTTTAAGTGAAGACTTATTTTATATGCAGGAGCCTCTCTTGTAGTGCAGCTTACACTGTACTATGTGTAAATAATCGCACTGGGGGGGTCATTTACTACAAGTTTTACTGCTTACCATCGGCTCTACATTTATGTGGCAGTATGGTGGTGCGCCTTATGCCGTGCTGCCACATAGGAGTTCAGCCGGCGTCACTGTGTTACACTGGGAGTGTGCACAATCTCCCGCGCTGTCACCACCAGCTCCCGGTCACATAATTTTCTATTTCTCCTTACTGGCCTTTTGTAAATGCGCTCGTGCTCTCTCCACCTCCCCCTCATGTGGATTTGTTTTGTAGCTGCAAAAGTAAATAACATTGTTGCCTTAAATAGATATATGAGATCTAAAACAAAATGGCTGTTTCTTATTTATGTGTCTGTGAGAGATGCTATAGCTGCACAGGAATAAAGGGGGG